CGGGGCAGAGGCAGGATGGTGCAGCCGCGGGCAGCGCGTGCAAGAGCTTCTGCCCTTGCATCACCGCTTCCTTTCGGTCACCTGCAGTTTCCCCAAAAATCTGCCACCAAAAGGCTCCTTTGAGCAGCCCTGAGGACCTGAGCCAGCCCCAGTGCTGCTGTGACCTGAGCACAGGGCTGCGTGGGGACACCGGCCATGGGGGACCCACTGGCTGGGGATGGATGGGGGTCCCTTGCCAAGAATGGCAGCACACCAGCATCCTCCTCTGGCCCCGGAACAGCCCAAAGGGACCCGAAGGCTGCACAGAGCAACCCCACCCTGCTCACGGGCAAAGGGGCACCCGGGAGCACTTTGTCCCCATCAAGGGCACCCTGGATTGCGACGGGTGCCGGTGCTGGGCTGTGCCCTGGCAGAGCCGGGACTGCGCTCCACGGGGTCCCCGTTCCCAGCAGGCAGCAGCCCCGAACCCCCCACCATGGCTCTCCCCAGCAACAACCAACAGCAAATGGTGGCGCAGGGTCAGCCCCTGATGCCCGTGTTAGCTGTAAAAGACAAAAAATTGCTCTGGCTGAACTAAAAAGAATAAAACACTAACCGTAGCTTTCCCCTGAGCCTCAAGCACAGTGCTTTGCAGCCGTTGAGATCAGAAACATGGTCATTTAGATTCAGTTTCTTACTATTTTAACATGGGGACTTCCCTGTACGCAAGACAAAATTATGCAACCCATAAAAAAGATGCTGCCGGGCTGTGTGGGTCCCGCCGAGCGCTGCTGCTGATGCAGAACCACCCCAAAATTTGCATGAAAGCTGATTTCATAATTACAATTGTTTGTACTAAATTTAAATCTGCTTTACAGACGGCGCCTTACTGGAAAGCCCTGAATTCACGTTCCTTCCCGTTTCCTCACTCCTCCTCTTGCGATGCGAGAAATGAAATGGAGCTTGGAGATCTCTGCCAGCGATGGGCTGGCTCACAGCAGGACGCAGCCTGGCACCGGCTACGACACAGCCCCTGGTGCGCCCACCCACCTTCTCATCATGACAAGGTGCCCAGAGGATAATTTGAGAAGAAAATTCTTGGAGGAGCGATGACCCATGTGATGAACAAGCCGAGTTTAGGGAGCTCAGGAGCTGATTCCCTTTGTGGGAAACAAGGCTGGCAGCTGAACGCAGGACAGGGGTTTTGAGAGAGGTGGAAAACTCCACTGGCCTCCAAACTAAGCGTCATTCCAGCGCTTTGCAGCAATGCCCCGCTGCTCTGGAACAAGGACACGGGCTCCAGGTGACAGATTTAGGTCGAGGTCATTGAGGACAAAGCGCTGGGGGTTGAGAGATTCTCAGACACATGGACTGTCCTCTTTTCTGCAGTGCTCTGCCCAAAACGAGCACCAAAACCTCCAGGAAATTAGAAGCTGAAGGAAGGAATGCCACCCTAATTTAGTTCAAAATGTAATTTTTGATTCTTTCAGTAGTTTAAATTTAAGCTCCATTCAATCCCAAGCCAAGGGAGGTCACTGAGGGCAAACTGCTGTGCGTGAACAGTAGGATGTGCTCCGATAGCTGCTGCAAAATCCCAAAAATGAAAGTCTGCCCTCTTCCTGAGCAGCCTGACACTGCTCACAGACACAACAAGAAACAAAGGAGAAAGGGTTCAAGTTCTGTACGTGGAAAACTTTAAATCCCAAGGGAAAACCTGGCCAGCAGCTGCAGGACAGAGGTGTTGGACCTCATCTGACATCTGGTGTTACCAGCAGGAGAAAAGCCGGGTGCTGGACCCGAGCACCCCCAGGGTCCATCCTACCCCGCTTGGACCCAAAATTCCCATTGAAGAGCAGGAGCCAGCCCAAGGCACAGGACAGGCTTTAACGTTCACTAAAAGATGGGGAAAAAAACCCATCACCACAAAGCTTCTCTGCTGGAACAAAAAAATATTCAGAGCTCTGGTAAGTTGTTGCAATTTTATTTATTTACTCGTTTCTTAGTACAGCCAAGGCTTTCCAGGGCGTTATCACCCAACACCTGAAGAGTGCCACACCCCATGTATTTCCAGTTTGGAAATGAGATTTTCATACACCTTAAAAGTCTGCTATATATATAGGACTATATATAAATAGATATTTTTTAATATAAAATTGATATTTCAGAGGTATAAATATTGGTGCAATTATGTTGTCAAGTCTAATTTCTCTCTACTGGATAGAACTCAAAATGTCCGAGACCAAAAGGAGACTCCAGTGTCGAACGCTGCCGCACCCATCAGCGCTACCACCAGCCCAGCAGCAGGACGGACACAACGCACATAAGTCCCAGCATCACATATGGATTCCAGTCCTTCCAGTAAAACCATTGCATCCATTCTCACTTCCTTTCCTCCTTCAGCTCCTGCATGTGAAGTCGCAGGATGTCCATGCTCCGCTGTTACACACTCAACAAGGCAGGAGCCCGGAATTTCTTCTCTTCACAGTTTTTTCACTCTGATGCCTCGCCCTCGTTTCGATATTGAGCCTTGCAGGGCCAGCAGCTGTGCAAAAAGCATCTCCTAAAGATAGCTGCGAGTGCAGGAGGGATGGACCGCCCTTCCGCTTCTGCAAAAGGGGAAGTGGAGAGCCAGCTGAGAACGCGGGGAAAGCTGCAGCAACTCATTCCCCCGTTCGAAACGTTTCTAGCAGCGATCACACAACTGGCCCTCGCCCTGATAACAACTGGTCATGGAGGTACGTTAGCTGAGCGCATCTATTACAGCAATCAGCAGTGAAATAATTATAATTTGGGACAGTACCCGTATGGCTGAGGGCTTACAGCTACGTTAAGTCAAGGGGCTCTCTTCCCCGGGATGGAGATGGGGCTGTTTGCCGAGGCAGGCGGGCAGCCAGCATCAGCTCCCGCCGGCTCCCATCCAAGAGCTGGAAGGTACAACCAGGAGGAGGGCTTTCCAAATGACTCGGTGGGGAGCTAACCCTGCTCCTACTGACACCAACAGCGCCAGGGTCCATTACGTGGAAGCACCGGGATCTGCACGGAGCCACTGGGAAAGCATGGGCACACATCCTGCAGCTCTGCTTTCCCTCTAGAACAACAGAGCGCGTGCTGCTCTGAGCTCCTTCTGCGGAAATGCAGGTTGCTCCCAAGGAACAGACGCTGTATCCAACTGAAGTTAAGGCTTCCAAATTTTCCTTGAAGATACAACCTCACCCACCCGTAGCTGGAATGAGTAACTGTGCTCCAGCGTGTTCCACCTGACGACAGAATTACCGCTACAACTTCATTTGTTGTAAAATACGGAAATGTATACTGCATGGACAGTCATGAAAACCATCAGAAAGGGCTTTATTTCTTCATCAGGGAATAAGGTTTTACCATTTTTGCGGAACATCCCAAACCCACGCCAATAAAAAAGAAACCTTTACAATAATCTGCATTTTCTCGATAAAGATTATCATATAGCCAGAACTTTACATCTCTTACAGTTTGTGAAACTTAAAAAAAATTGCATACATGAGTCTCCTACACGATGAGGGGTGTAACCAGGACTACAGGGGACTTAGTTTTTGATGTAGTGGGACTTAGAGCTGCTTGTAGTGTACGCTTCCATCGCTAGTTCTGGATGAACAGAAGAACATCCCCCGCAGCCTTCAGGAGAAAAGCTCTTGCTCAGGTCCACACAGGCTTTGCCTACATTGGGACTGCAAGACCAGATCCATCGTATCTAAACCACGGGATATTCTGATAAAACATGCACTTACTACCTCGAGTTAATGGAACACTGTAACAGGGTTTAATTTAAATTGGTTCCTAATCCACCTGCTGAAATACTGACCAGTTCTCAGTCCATCTCATTAACGCGTACTAATGGTCAAGTGAACCAGTTTATCTTTTATTTATGAAAAACATATGAATTGTGATGGATATCAGAGGAAAAATCAGTTCAAATATACAGATACTATTGTCCAATCAGCCATTAAAGGAGTAAGAATCAAAAATTAATGATTTTTTTTTTCTTCCAAAGTAAAACTAACAAACTGAACTACTTGCAGGAATTTTTCTTCATTGGAAAAGCTGAGATGCATTCAGGTACGGTGAAATTCAGCTTTATTGGGAAATGTAGACAGCCTTTGTTTAGTCCCTGTTGATTTGAATCCCTGACGTCTCTCCAGCATTGCTGCATCAAATTTAGTCCTTATAATATATTGCAAAGTAAAACCAGACATTCCAAATCTACAGTCATTTTTTGCTTTAAGTCAATTCACAGAACTGCTGAAAAAGTAGACATTTCTATCTAAAAGTACAAAAAGGGTTTGTATAGAAGGTACTTCTCTTATACAGTTATATTACACAGCCCACGACAGTCCCAGCAGGCTCTTCTCAGAACCGGATGCTTCTGACTAGATAAGAAAAAAATGACAAAAGTGAGTTAGTTCCATTGCAGCTCCGTATCTTATGACAAATATGAGCAGTTTGTGTCACCCTTTAGGTCTAGATTCAGAAAGCGTGCAGGAACTGAATGTTGCTCTCAAATACGAGATTAAATGTGTGCTTGAGTGGTCTCTGCAAGAACTTAGATCAAATATTTGCTTTAGTATCAGTTCAGTGGATGGCCTCAAGCATTCAAACCACCGCAGCACCAAACTGCAGGCATTGCTCACACAGAGTTCCCACGAGCTTTCATGGACAAGTGTGATGGTTTTCTACACCTCCACTGGGTGAAGCGCTTCCCACTGCAAATCCAAAGTTTTTTTAAATTCTATTTTCTCCAGCCATGTTCAGTTTTATGTCAAATATTTCCAAAACAAACTTCACCAATTTATGAGGAAGACTACGTATATAGGAAGACTACTCTGCCAGTTTTCACCAAATCATTTCCGGATTTGTCCCTTCAGTCCCTCACCCCAGTGCCACCAGCAGCCCTCCACGTGCCAGGCTGTGTGCACGGACGGATGGCCATGGCCAAGGCTGGCCTTGGCTCCAAAAAGCTGGATGGTGCCAGGAGTGAAACCCACGGGCTCCAGGCTCCCCAGGCCACTGCTTCAGGCGAGGGGCAACCCACATCATTGCTCTCACTGCTCGGGCTGGCAGAAATGAAGAACCAGAGCTCGGTTTTGCTGATTCCCTGGCTGTGCCCTCAGGACTGGAACAGGGCACAGACGTTTTCTCCGAGATGAAGACCACGTCTCCTTCTTACTAAAGCTAAGCAAGGTTACAGCTCGAGTACACCACACACCTACATCCAACTGTGTATCAATCAAATCAAATTGCTGAAGTATCAAACACTATACAATGAGGGAAATATTTGGTTTGGAGTATTATCAAAAAACTGAAATGGGAAAAAGCACTACAGAGCTGTGAGAGCTTAAAATTGCCATTTTCTCTCGGAATGAAGCAGAGAGACTCACAACCGCGTGGGTCAGCCTCCTTGCATTTGGTGACATGGTAACATCGCTAGCACTGCTCAGCACCTCCACCACAAGGTCATTTTTAGGAATGAGTGAAGTTAAAAATAGTATAAGATTGACATTTTTGCATTGTAAATTAAACGAAGCTTTTCATAAAAGTTAACAGAAAAGAAAAAAAAACCCCAGACTTTTAAAGGAAGTTGGTTTGTCATCACTAATAGCTTCACCAAGTGTCCCAAGCTTAGACAATGTCGCAATCACAGTGAAGAGCTGTCCTGCTCAATGACCGTTTGGAAATCAGGAGAGATGGGGGGGGGGCTTTTTACAAGGCATGTAGCAACAGGAGGAGGGGTAATGGAATTAAACTGGAAGAGGGGAGATTGAGATGAGATCTGAGGAAGAAATGTTTTCCTGTGCGGGGGGTGAGGCAGTGGCCCAGGTTGCCCAGAGAAGCTGTGGATGCCCCATCCCTGGAGGGGTTCAAGGCCAGGCTGGATGAGGCTTTGGGCAACCTGGGCTAGTGGGAGGTGTCCCTGCCCATGGCAGGGGGTGGGACTGGGTGATCTTGAAGGTCACTTCCAACCTAAACCCTTCTATGATTCGATGATGTCAGCCCTCTTCTCCCCATCCCAAAATATAAAAGTAACAGGTATTGACTTCAAGAAACACTGAATTTTTTTACCCAGTATTGATGAGGTCTACCACATTGGGTCTGGTTCTTGCTTTATGAGAACTTCCTTCTGTTTCTTGCTTTGAGAATTTTCTTCTTCTTCTTCTGTAATATCTATTGAAAAAGCAGTAATGAATGAAGAAAAAAGGAAACCTCTCAACTGATTTTACTGTTATTGTTGTACTGAAGTTAACCTACAAAAATATGAAAAGCATTAATTTATCCTTTTAAGCTATTAATGATAAATAAAAACACATTCACAACGACCTGATTCTGTGGAAATTACCATGTTCGCTTCAATGTAAACCAGCCTGGGATCTTAGAGAACTCTAGCTTTTAAAGAGCAGAAATAAAAATTGGTATTAGAAGCGTATGAAACTGAAAAATTCTTTTCATGTAGCTGAAGTACTCACTGGGCAAGAAAGGAACTTTAAAAGGAAACAACACATAATCGGTGAAAAAATGTCAGTTATATCACTGCATCCCGGTCTTCAGTCCTTCTCTCTCCTCCTTCTCAATCCCCAGCACCATTCCTTCCTCCATCCACCTCACTCGATATGCAACGTAGGGTGAAGCTTTTCAAACACTCAAGGGAAGTCCGTAGCCCATGATTTCAAATACATCAGCCATGAGCACTGCTTTACATTTTTTAAGACGCTGTCTTCCAAAGCTGGCTAACAACATCTGTAAACCTACTCGTGCTCACGTCACGCTTTCTGGGTTAGTCATTACATTAACATTCATCGCACAAACTCTTGTTTTCACAGCACTATTTCAGATTTTTTTTTCCATCCGCAGGACTGCTTCTCTTCTCAGCTAGACAGAGACTTCTGCATAATTATATTCCAATCTGTCCAAAACAAATTTTGACCCTAGCTAATTTTTCTTCTCCAATGCACAGTATCTCATGGGAAGGCATTCTGATGTGCTTAAAAAAAAAAAAAAAAGAGAAAGACATTTTATCTTGTTGGCTAAAGCATTCATCATTTTTTGATATGATTTTTTTTCATTTCCAGGAGACTTTATTACAAAACCTTTGTTTTTTCTTGTTCACAGGGACGCTTGGTGGTAAATGAAAGAAATCTCGTGCCTGCATAGCACTGCCTGTATGAGCCGGAGCCTGATGTTGTTCTTTTTATAAACAGATGTTGGAAGGAAATTGTTTTTTTCACTGAAGTTGTTTGGAAGGTTTGTGGCTAGGGTGATTCATCACTACAAAGCCACATGATTGTTTTATACCTTCCAGCCTAGTTCTGCAGTGATTTTGCGTTCTTCAGCAACTGCATGACTTTTCTCAAGATCATTCCTCTGGGTCTGAACCCAGTTTTGGATGACAAATTGAAAAACACACTTGCCTCTTTCTTCAAAACCCTCACTTTGCAGGCCCATCGCCAGATTTCCTGCACGAGGCTATTCAGGAACAAACATCTCCCTCCTCCATCCTCTAACCGTTTCGGTGATCCCACATAGCTCTGGCATTACGAAGACATTTGATGTTTCAGCTTTTGATCGCTGGGAGCTTAAAATCTGCAGCTCAGCTCTTCTATGACTCTGACATTTGCTTTCTTTTTGTCTTGAGTGCTGCAGTGGCATTAACCCATATTGTGAGAATGACCTGCTCCTAACACTCAGAGTGAACCGGCCAGTGAGCTGGTGACAGCAGTTCAGGTCGGGCATGCTGGCTTCTCCCTGAGTGCAGTGACATGCCAGGGGAACTGGGGTGATGGAGACTGGAAAGGGCATTTCCCCGGAGAAGGACACAGAAGAACAGGAGCGCTGAGATTTGCCGTTTTCTCCCTTGGGGGAATCTAAGCAGGACAAGGGGATGAACTCAAGTTGAGAGCGTGAAGACGACAAGCGGTGGCGCACAGCAGCCTCCATCCCAGTGCTGTTGGCACATGGCTGTTGAGATGCTGCTTGACATCAGAGAGCCCCTCTCAGGACTACCTGGCATGAAGGCAGGACCCCATCAAACTGCCCCAGCACCTCGAATCCCCCACGCCAGCCATGCCAGAGGTAGCCACAGCCGTCCAGGGCCATGCTGACACGTTGGGGCTAGAGCAGAGGCAGCACTTACAGGACCAGAGCACGCAGCAGACAACAGCATCCCAAGTCCTGGGTCAGTTCAGTCCTCCCAAGGCTCCAAGACCATGTGCAAAAGCACAGGGTGGGTAGAAGACCTGCAGCCACCCTGGTCTCACATACATCAACATCCAAAAAGGATACGACTCAAGTATATTCTTGCACTTTTTTCTAAGCTCTTTTTCAGAGCTTACATTCAAGAAAATACTCCCCCTCCTCAACACACCCTCACAGAATATTCAGGCCAACGTAGCATTCAAATTTCCTGATGATGGCAATCATTCGCTTGCATAAACTGTGGAAATTCCTGCGCTGAATATCTCGACGCATCGCTCAGGATATGAGCCATCACTCAAAGCCTACATACAGTCATGACTCATCAACCAAGAACAACAATTCATAGAACTCCTTTGTAACATTATTTGAATAATAACTTCTGCTGCAGAGTATTTTGGAGGTGATGCAGCATGATATTAATATAGATGAAAAAAATTACTGGAAACCAATAAAAGCCCCTTTTTTTTGTTTTGATTGACCTGCCCCCTTTAAAAAAGAAAAGATGCAACTTTGTTCAAAATAAAAGTATTTGTTGATAATAACCAAAGACAAACACTTACCATCTAAAGATACTTCTATTTGGCTTGGTTCAGCTGGCTCTTAAATGAAAAAAAAAATAGTCCAATGAATATGAATATAGTTTCAATAATACAAATCAGATAAATATCTTAGAAAAATTAGGGAAATCAGGTTTTCCCTGAAAAAAAGGCGCCTCATTTTTTCTCTTATGATCAGACTCAAATGTCTTTCTCTGAGATAAATGTGTGTAACTTTCTATAGAGTCTGCAGCAAAGTATAAAAAGTACTGAAACATTTATTATATTACACTAACTCTTTCC